AAGTTATAGACGTTTATCAGTCATTTGAATCACCCCAAAATGAAGTTGATAAATCGCAAAATATATCCTTTGATTTTTATAACAAGCAATATAGAAGTACAAAATAATTTTTAATTCCTTAACTATGAATACGCTACATATAGCTTGCCTCATTTGCCAATAGGGATGCCTCTACTCCCAGTAAAAGGATTTGACTCGCACCTTCGTGCGAAGTCAAATCAAGAGGTAGTTGCTAATAGACAAGATTTACGTATAGCTAATATAAATGCCGCTCAATTATTGAAAGCAGAGTTATGCACTACTTCAACAGCAAATATTAATATAACAATTAATAACTCAAATTCATCACTTCAAATGGATTATGAAAGTTCTGAAATTTCAGTTAAACAAGATACCGTTGCCAGTAGCGATGAGGCTTTATCGACATCACTTACGTTGCCATCAAAAAGAAAAAAAGATGAGATTTATGATGAAATTATAACGACGATTGAAGGAGATGTTAAAGACGATGACGATAATTTACCAAGCACGTCAAAAGATGAAGATGAAGATCATGTAGATTCAATTAGGTAATTAACAACTATAGACTACTTATAAATATCGATAACTTTAACACTTTTAAAATATAATTATTGATAGACTTTGGGAAGCAGGATTTAAAGAAAGATATTATAAGCAAAAGTTTGGAGTTGAACTACCGAATAAAGAATTTCAAAACAAGTATGTCATCCCCAAAATAAAAATATTATATTATAATTTATTAATTTATTTGTTTATTCCACAGTCTCGTAAAGAGTTATATAGAAGGTCTCTGTTGGGTTTTAAAGTATTATTATCAGGTATATTTTTATAATTATTATGTTATCGTAAATGGGCATATGTTAACATTTAACTATAACATAAACATTTATAGGGTGTTCCATCATGGAAGTGGTATTATCCTTACCATTATTCACCTTTTGCATCAGATTTTGTCGATATTGGTGACATTCAAGTCTATTTCGAATTAGGTGAACCTTTCAAACCATTTGAACAGTTAATGAGTGTATTACCTGCACATAGGTAACTATATTGTAT